CGTAATCCTAGGATCTGGGTTCGATCCCCGGTGATGACAGAAACAAAATGGGCAGTTTCTTTCACCCTGATGGCCCTGTTACCTAGCAATAAATAGGTACCTGGGAGTTAGACAGCTACTATGGGCTGCTTTCTATAGATGTACGTGCATGTGTGTGTGTTAAGATAGAAATATATGTAGTAGATTTGATACGGGAGAATAGGTTGGGAGTCAGTACATTAGACAACCGACAGTTAGAAATGTTGGGGTCCAATAGCAAACAGCTTGCTCCTACAGACACAAATAGTAAATACAAATACAAATAGTAAATACACACACACATACATACACACACACACTTATAGTGGTTTTCTGGTGCCAAAATCTCATATACACAACAATAAACTGGAAAAAGTGCAACTAATGTATATGGCTTCTGGAACTGAAAAACAAGAGCTACGAGGAGACCATAGAGGTGTTAAATGAGCCAAAGCTAGAAGATTGAAGAAAAAGGGGTGATATTATCACTACATACAAAATAGCAGAAGAAAATGACATAGAGGAATTCCTGAAACCTGCAACTTCTAGAACAAGAGGTCATAGATTCTAGCTAAGGAAACAAAGATGCAGAAAAAACTATTAGAACTCCTTTGCAGAGTGGTAGACAGTTGGAACAAGTTAAGTGAGTAGGAGGTAGATGCCAAAACTGTCAGTAATTTCAAAGCATCATACCGGGTTTGACAAAGAGTACTCTACACTTAGGTAGTTACAGACTGGAAGTGGTGCGGGCGCACATACACGAAACCAGAGAGTAATGAAGGGGCGGCCAAGTGTGACGTCATAATGGCTCCAACCCGTCTTTCTCATCATTACACCTGAAACCAATATTTTTTCCCCCCATGATGGAGAGGCAAATCATAAATCTCCGACGTCCTAAGAACTAAAATAATTTAAAGTAACATATCCTATCATAGCCGAAGAATATTTTTAGAATAAAAATCTATATAAATTAATACATTTTAAACAGCCATGATGAAAAAACCTATAAATCTCTACATGCTTCATCTACTATTGTGTGATAATTATTCTCTGTAGGAGCAATTCTCCTGTTCATCCTGGCAAACCTAGCATGGGAGGCTGCCACGCCCTCGCTGCCTCCCTGTTTTCCGATCATTAAAACTTTTTATTTTGCTTTAATTGATTACCTTTCCAGTGTGAGTGTTGGGATTGTGGTGGTGATGGTGCTAATGATACTTGGTGGTGGTTGTGGTGGCGATGGTGCTAATGGAACTTGATGGTGGTATGGTGGTGATGGTGCTAATGGAACTTGCTCTTCCTCACTCACTCTCTCTCTTTCTCGCTCTCTTTCTCACTCGCTCTTTCCCTCACTCACTTGCTCTCCTTCACTCATCTGCTCTCACTCACTTGCTCTCTCTCACTCCCGCTTTCTCTCACTTCCTCTCTCACTCGCTCTCTCTTACTCACTTCCTCTCTCTCTCTCACACTCACTTGCTCTTTCTCTCACTCACTTCTTCTCTCTCTATCACTCACATGCTCTCTCACCTGCACTTGCTTTCTAGCTCCCTCACTCACTCCCTGGCTCCCTGTCTTTGATGGTTTAATAGCAGAAAACACTGAAAAGACGAAAAGTGGAAAAACACGGCAACAGAAATTGAATTACAAACATGAAAGGATTAGGTGTAGTGGCACTAGGATGAGGGGGGGTTGTAAGTGGAGAGAGACGAGATACAGTGGGGGTCTTGAAACTGTGAAGCAGATAGGATGCATGAATGGAACATGTGATGCAGAGCGATTAGATAATGTAAGACCAGAAGATATAGATGGATTTAGAGATGAACAATTAATAATGTAGACTAGGAAACACGTAGGGACTAAGGAATATGTAGGGACTATGGAATATGTAGGGAGCAGAGGACATATACGGACTAGGGAAAATGTGGGACTAGGAAAATTAATTAGAAAAATTTGCGAATATGTAGGGAACTAGGAAATATGTACAGAACAGGGAAAATATAGTAACTAGGGAACATGTAGGGACTAGGGGACATGGAGGAACTAGGGGGACATGAATAGAGTTGTTACAGAGGACTAGATGTGGAGGAAATACTGAATAGGTATAATTATAATTTATGGTAAGGTTATTGTCAGGAGAAAGCACTAAACCATTATGACTATACAGTGGTACCTCAGAATGCGATTGTCCCTGTATGCGAGGTTTTCGGAAGGTGAGGTGTATTTACTCCAAAAATTTGTCTCGGAAGGCGATGGTTACTTCGGGAGGCGAGTTTGGACGCGAGTTTGTTGATACGCGTACAGCCGACCTAGCGCGTGGTGGTTCGGCGATCGTCGCCCCTCCGCCCTGCCGCCCCTCAGTTTATTATTGTCTCGCGCTCAGTGACTACCCCCACATCAATTCTTCTCGCGGATTTTCAGTGTTTTGTTGGATTTTTGGTGATTTGTCTATACAATTTGTTATTATATATCTCACCATGGGTCCCAAGAAAGCCAGTGGTAAGGATAAAGGCCAGAAAGCTCATGTGAGGATGACAATAGAGGAGAAACAAGAGATCATTCGGAAGCATGAGAACGGTACACGTGTTGTTGAACTTTGTAGGCAGTACAACAAAGCCACATCAACAATATGCACTATACTTAAGAAGAAAAATAAGATTATGGGTGCTAAAGTGGCAAAAGGAGTAAGAACATTAACGGCACAAAGACCACAAATACTTGAAGAAGTGGAAAAGTTGTTATTAATTTGGATACACAACAAGGAGTTGAGGGGTGATAGTGTTTTGGAGGCCATTATTTGTGAGAAAGCCAGGGTGTTGCACGAAGACCTTCTAAAGAATACCCCTGCAACGAGTGATGCAGATAAGAAAGAGTTTAAGGCAAGCAGGGGCTGGTTTGAAAAATTTAGAAAGAGAAGTGGTATCCATAGTGTTACAAGGCATGGGGTTATGTGATGTGATTATGGAAGGGGACTCCCCTTCCAAACAGTAACTCCTCTCCTCCTCCCCCCTCCTCACCATCTTCCATACGCCTACAGCACTCGACAGCAAGGTAAGTAATAACTGGAACACAGTTTTGTAGGTTTATTTAGATGAATTAGGTATAAAAATTTAGTTTGATGTGGGGTTTTTGGGGTAGTCAGGAACGGATTAATTCATTTCCCTTTATTTCTTATGGGGAAATTAACTTCGGAATGCGAGTTTTCGGAAGGCGAGGCGTCTCCAGGAACGGATTAAACTCTTATTCTGAGGTATGCCTGTATAGCACTTGGCAGGAATATGAGGATAAGAATTTGAGATAGGACTGAGGGGAAGGAATAGTGCCCAACAACTTGGACCAGTTGGGGATTGAAGGCCGACCTGCAAGAAGCAAGACCGTTGCTCTACCTTCCAGATGGGAAGGGAACAGAGTACATGAGGGGACTAGATGGGGGGGAGGGAACAGGGCACATGAGGGGACTAGATGGGGGAGGATACAGGGTACAAGAGGGGAACAGATGGGGAGGGAACAGGGTACAAGAGTGGACTACACGTGAATTACAGAAATACTTTTCCAGTTACGCTTTTCATCCGAGGGAGATAAATACTGTAATATGCAGTGATTCTTATACCATATGTCCCCAAATTATTGGCTTTATGTGATGATTTTTGATGGCATGGGAACACAAACCTCATTGATAGAATTCCGCTTGTAGGAAGCTTGGTTCTATCTTCCGAACAATTAACTTATGAACTGCTTCCGAAAAGAAACCCGTTCGTAAGCTGTGCACCCCCCATGTACCCACCATTTCATTTAAACAGTATAATGTTAATATGTATCCATGGTTAATGTATTATCAAACAGCGAAGTCAATTTAAAAAGTAAAATAAACATGTTATTTGCAGCATCATGTAGGTAAGGAACTATTAATTATCAATGATGACTTGATAATGGTCCATGATGGATCAAAATATGTCATTACATTTTTTCTTTTCAGATTTGTGAGTTAAGTGTGTAATTCTTCACCATGTTATTGTGACTTATTGTCCGCAGAAGGTAAGTTCTCTCTTCCCGTTCAGTAATAATGTTTGCTTCAATTGAAATACTCCTGCAATATGTAATGCCCTCTCTGTTTATTGCTAGTTTCTCTTTCTTTTAAAAAAAATATAATTTTCATTCTTTGGTTTTAAATATTTTCTTTTGCATTTCTTACTTTTTATACTGCATCAAATATTTTATCAAGCTCTATAAATACATAATGTTACACAAATATAAGAGTTACACATTCTAGAAAGTGTTCTGATATTATAAATACAAATAAGATATATAACAGCTGTCATTTGAGTAAGATGAAACGGTTGAATAACAGTAGAGTTACAAGTGTAAACAATCAGCAAACTGAAAGATAGATAAATTTGTTTTCTACAGAGGTTATCTTGAGGTTATCTTGAGATGATTTTGGGGCTTTAGTGTCCCCCGCGGCCCGGTCCTCGACCAGGCCTCCACCCCCAGGAAGCAGCCCGTGACAGCTGACTAACACCCAGGTACCTATTTTACTGCTAGGTAACAGGGGCATAGGGTGAAAGAAACTCTGCCCATTGTTTCTCGCCGGCGCCCAGGATCGAACCCGGGACCACAGGATCACAAGTCCAGTGTGCTGTCCGCTCGGCCGACCGGCTCCCTGCTGTGGTGGGTACAAGACAAGATGACTTCTGATTCTTGTAAAAAGGCAGAGACCTCTCCCTTCCCACAACTCATTTTAAGCCTTACCTTATTAGTTTTCTCTGAAACACAATCCATCATCACATTCACAATCCAAATATATACTGGATGAACAGGGAGAAAATGGTTAGTTGGTGCTCACTTGTTTCTCCCTGCCTAGTGCTTGAGCCACAGCAGGCACCACACGTAAACTACAGCTTCATCACAGGATTTTTATTTTCATACTGCACTTACGCAAATGCATATTCTTTGCATACATTTTATTAAGAATATAATGGGGTACTTACCGTGGTATCCAAACAGGAGCTTTGTCATTTATAGGTGATCTATCTTGAGGATGAGACTTAACAGGCAAATTTTTAGTTCTCCTAATGGCTTGTTTGATATCTGCTATGGCTGCTTCCACACTTTCTCGGCTCTGACCAACTCCTCCGCCTGGATAAATGGAAAATAAGAAATGTATATCAAGTCTTGCTCGTATAAAAAATCAAACATGTAAATATAGGTTGCATCCGAGAAGGAACAGTACAGGGTGTTTTATAAAGAATAAAAATACAGATCCAGTGCATACATTCAATCCAAGCATACTGTGAATAGTTACAGTGTAATTAATAGTTACAGTGTAATTTTGTGCAGTGAATAGTTACAGTGTAATTAATATGGATAGAGTATTAAGGTATTGCATGTAGGAACATTCTCATGAAGTCGCTAATAGGTCCATAATCTGTTACCTTCAATTAAATACACTTGGAAACCTTTATTTTACATTATAGTATAACAATTTATCTAAAGTCTGATGACAGCCAGACAAAAGAATAAGTAAAGCACACATCAACAAATTGGAAAGGATACAAAGATATGCAACTAATCGGCAACTAGAACTGAAAGAGAAGAACTTCGAGAAGTCATAGGCATTAAATATGCCAAAACTATAAAATAGAAGAAAAAGAAGCAATATGATCACTATGTACAAAATAGTAACAGGAATCAACAAAATTGATAGGTAATAGTTCCTGAGACCTGGTACTTCAAGAACATGAGGTCAAAGATTTAAGCTGACTAAACAAAGCTGCTGAAGAATTATACGAAAATTCCATTTTGAAACAGAGTGGTAGACGGTTGGAACAAATCAAACGAGGTGGTGGAAGCCAAAACCATCAGTAGTTTCAAAGTGTTATATGACAAAGAGTGCTGGGAAGACAGGACACCACGAGCATAGCTCTCATTCTGTAACTACACTTCGGTAATTACAAAGTAACAACAATCAGTATACAAAGAAATCGCAATGGCTACAACCAGGTTTCTTACGGATAGCCTGCCTATACTCTGGCCTGTGGGTAACAGTGTTCCCCACAATATGCATCTCCTTCACAACACAAAGAAATCACAAAATGTAAGGAACTCCGGACAGAAAACCAGGTCAACATAGAAAAACAAGAACAAACAATGAACACAACTACAGGAAGTAACAAAAGACAAAACTCAATTCACATTAATATAATAGGGAGGAGCCTGAGGTGCCCCTGTGAGACAGGGAAGTGCATTCACCTCTTGTATCTGTTAACACAATTGGTGTCTAGCAACATTGGGGGCCAAGCAGGTAACCTGTTAATGCCTGTTAGTCATAGCAGGGCAATACTTTTTTGGGCTACTTTACTTCAGGTACTGCATGGAGGAGATTTTTTAGTGTAGAGGAATGCACCTTTGAAAGTCATACAATATAGTGCGTGTAACAACTATAATTGGCAAACTTTACTGATGTCAAACATTACTGATGTCAAATTCAACAAAAATTTCTCTGCAAGCATTTAAAAAACTGCATCTCTATTCAGAGCTTTTAGAATACTGTTTTGGCAGTGGTTATTTATTCATTATACATTTTGTGAATGCTATAATGAATGGACTAGCTCAATTTGTAATGATTTATTATTTAATATAGTATTTATAATGCTACTAAATTATTCACCGTTTTTCTCCATACAAATAATATCCCAAAACCCATTAAAGTGGGAAACATGTAAAGATATTGCATGATCCAGAAGCCAAAGCTTTTAGGATTTTCAAGGTACAGTATTTATCATATTGAGAATTAGATTGGTTAAGTTACACCGACTATAAACAAACAAAAATTCTATCAAATACAAAGGTAACTAATTTAATATGAATAAAAACAATTACCAGTACAGTACATCTATATTATTGAGCATCTATAATTACAGTAAATATATTTTAAAATACCGTACCTGGATTGAGGTGAATGTCATGTGCTGCTGGGTGACCTTGGACCATATGTGGGGTCACTTTGTGTTGTACAGGACTGGTGAGTGATCCCATGGCACTTAAGAGGTGAGGACCAGTACTCGGGCCTGAAACTAAGAAAAGAAAGATGTGCATAAGATCAACATCGATTTAAAACTTTAGGCAGCTCTGATTTTCTTAACGATTGCTTTAAACTCTTTGGATGCAATAAGTGGTTATATTCCTGTTGCATCCCTCTAATTAAAGAAACTACTAATTAAAGCATTTGTGTTCCTCACGTGTGCCCCGAAGAATGAGGTGATTTGATAAAATACTATGCCCAAGATTACCATCAGAGTGCTGGCGGGATGATGGGGAAATAGCCTCGGCTACCATCATCTTGCCTGGTCGTGATGGTCGAGTGGTTAAGGTGTCCTGTGCACCAGTTAAAAAGTGCTCCTGGCTGTTTGGGTTTGAGTCAACTGGGGTGTGAGTTTTCAGTTGCATATATGCCTGGGGACCATTTAGGCTTGTTCATATATATATATGGAACCATCTACCCACCGAAGTCGTAAATGCCAAAATATTACTTCAGTTCAAAATCAAGTTGGAAAAAATCCTCGGGAACAATGTCGGGACCTCTGACAAGCTGCTGGCTTCCTATCCCTGTTGAGGCCACTAGAGAGATAGTGGCCCCTCAGGTAAATTCAGGCATGTAGTCCTTTAGTTCTGTATACTGTACTGTACTTTCACATCTTAACAGTAATTCAGGTTTGCATTCTTTTCTCTATCTTCTTCACAGTATCATAATTTACTTAATTTAATAGCATAGTTCAGAGTGAACAATCCTACCTGCTTGTATGCAGTGGTATTTACATCACCTATGTATACAGAGAGAGCAAGAAGCCTGCCATGCTTAATCTGCTATAGCTATATACCAGTACAAACATCATTAACCCTTGAAATGCATGTGAAAATCAGGGACGTTTTAAGGTACCTTATAAGATTTAAAACCATCATGGGTACACAGGGCTCACATCTGCTTTTTCAGTCTTCCAGTAAACATACGACATCTTGGAAAAAATCGTAAGCATCCCTCATAGGATGTGAAAGCTACAATACTACGAGAGCGACTATGAGTAGCTTCATATCCACGGCGAGAAGAGACGACTCAACTCCCTCCACTGTTGAACTGTATGGAAATCATCCTCGGAGATAACCAAGCAAACTCTGCCTTGGCTCTGAAACCCTCAGACACATCGAAGTCAGAACTAGGGCGGGGAGGAATGACGTGGGGACAGAACCGAAGTGGAGTTGGCCAAACAAGAATCAAACTATGAACCCCGAATACATAAAAACCATTCCTGTTAAGCAACATCTGCCTGGCAAGCTTCATATGAGAAGCATGCTGAGAGAGAATGAGACCCAATGTGTGCATATGATCCAATACCCTGGGCCATTGACCCAACAGGCACCATGGCGAAGGAAAAGAGAATGATTGTTGACCAGAAACAGGTTCAATGAACAACCTTCAAACTCACATGCAGTGAGTGCAAACTCGACAAGTCGATCCATAACAAGCCATGCTGCAGACCCATACGAAATTACTAGAGCCTGAGGGTAACTAGCCTAGCAGGACACCAACGCACTAAGGACACTTGCCAATAGAAATGACACCAAACACAACCCATACCAACCAGACTACGAAGAGTATTCTTGGCATTCCATATAAACAAATGCATGTGTATCCCACATGTGCTTGTGGGATATAGTACTGACCCCTGTGAAAAACCACTGGTAACATCTCACCACCACTCTGACATCCCTCCTCTCATTGTGACTGTCTTCTGCTGCAGAAGTACTCCTTTATCTATAGCAGCAAATTCCCTGTCACTCCTATCTTGAGGTTATCTTAAGATGATTTCTGGGCTTAACGTCCCAGCGGCCCGGTCCTCGACCAGGCCTCCTTTTTGTTACACACCCCCCAGGAAGCATCCCGTAGCAGCTGTCTAACTCCCAGGTACCCATTTACTGCTAGGTAACAGGGGCATCAGGGTGAAAGAAACATTTAGCCCATTTGTCTCCACCTCCACTGGGAATCGAACCCGAACCTCAGGACTACAAATCCAAAGCACTGTCCACCAAGCTGTCAGGTGTCCTGACATACTGTATCTCTCCTGCCTATACTCTATCTCCATTTTGTGTACTTGTCTCCTGTGGGGTACTGTGTCAAAGACACTCCAACAGTCCAAAAATATACAGTCCTCCCTCATTCTCTATTGTCTGATATCAGTTGTCCAGTGTGTAAGTGTGTGTGTGTGTGTATTTAAAATTGTTTCCCACCAAGAGAAGCATTTGTTTACTTGAAGGAACAGTAATTATTTTATATGTTCATTTAAAATATCAGGAATATCAAACTTTCTTTCTACTAAGGACGGAGGATAAAGTGGTGAATTTGGTGTAAATGGCATGCAACTTCATAACCTGAGATTTTTGGTTCATTGACCAGACCACACACTAGAAGGTGAAGGGACGACAACGTTTCGGTTCGTCCTGGACCATTCTCAAGTCAATTGTGAATGGTCCAGAAAGGACCGAAACGTCGTCGTCCTTTCACCTTCAAGTGTGTGGTCTGGTCAACATACTTTAGCCACGTTACTGTGACTCATCGCCTGCATTTTTGGTTCAATTCTGCTTCCATATACGACTAATTAACATTCCTTGAGCTATGATTACAGGACTGATGAGTTACATCTAATACATTTGCCTATCTATTTCTGTTTCATCTACAAAGGTGCCAGGTTGCTCAGTAAAAAGATGGCATATATTCAATAACTAAACCAATATGAAGCATACAGTATAGTTCATCTTATAACTGACACCCAAGCAATAACAAAATGCCTCTATTAAACTGTTTAATTGTGCTTAAAGTGATAAACCCAAATACTCTGATAAAACATACTGATACTGTGACAGGGAAAAAGCTTTAGTGTACAATTAATGTGAAACTAAATACTCAGTGAAAGAATATATCCAATATAATATATATATACAGATGGAACACCACAGAACAGTACTATGAATGTAAGGCTTAAACTACAAGAGTTACACAATAACAGCTAGTCAACACATTTACTCACTCCTGGTGGTGGCCAGAAACCTGCCACTTGCACACCCAAAGTCTGTGGCAAGGGTAGAAATCCTTAGCAAACTGCATCACAGTTTTACTATATTTATCTCTACCAAGAATAGCCAGAATGCACTACTCGGCGTAGTATGCAAAGCCCGATTTGCTGTAATAGCTAGAGTGATTTTCGTTTTTATTCCAATAATTTTGTTATATTGGTTTATTTGAATTAATATTATTATATTATATTATATTAAGAACATGAATTACTGACTTGGTTATGTTAGTTTAGGTTAGGTTAAGATAGGTTAGGTAAAGTGGGTTAGATTAGGTAGGTTTGGTTAGGTTTGGTCATATTTCTATGTTAGTTTGAACTCATATTAAACAGAAAACTCATGTATAATGGAAAGTTTTATAATTTTTCCATAAGAAAATTTTGTAGAAAACTTCAGGAAAACTCGGCTAATAAGGCAAATCGGGCCTTGCATAGTAGGCCAAGTACTGTAGTGTGTTCTGGCTATTAGGTATAATTTTTTAAGAAGAAATCCATACAAAGAAAAGTAGACAAAATAGTTTGTTTAAGCAGCATAAATGAAATCACAAACTAAGTCTAGGCGACCTTTCATTTTAAATACTAACAATATTATTTTGATTTTTTCATGGAACACAAATCAAAGGTCTTTTATAAGTGAATAAAGACCTCATACCCATTCTTTACCAACCTTAAAAAATAACAGAATTACCCCTCAAGAATAAATACCTCTCATGTGCCTGCCAAAACTGTGCTGAATTTAAAAATACTGTATACCTAGAAAAGATCAAGGCATATGGGGGGGGGGACCTTTAACAAGCTGCCGGCTTCCTGTCCTCGTCGAGGCCACTAGGATTAGTGACCCTCAGGTAAATCAGGTATGTATGTACCCTAAAAAAATATCCTAACCACAAATGTCATTCAGAAAAAAATGGCCAGCAAAAGTAACTACCTGGAGTATATTGAGGTGAGTGTAGGTGCCCAAGGACATGGCTCGGGGATACAGATGGTATCGGATTTGGGGTCGATGATGAGCTCCCATTTTCTACAACAGAGTTATTCCCTGTAGAGCCCCCACGATGAGGGTGAGGAGCAGGGGGAGGTGGAGGCTCAGGCATTTTCTCATCTGTTATGTGTTAGAGTAAGATAAAGACTCAGTTTAATAAAGTAACAGAATTAAAGTTCCATAAGTAGAGAAAAACAATTTGTACATCACAGTAAATAAAACTGAGACAACAGGGCTTTATAAATACAGTACTGTACTACATTTAAAATGAAATGTAAAAAACATTTCTACATCATTTGGGAGAGAGAGCTCACCATTAATAAGAACATAAGAAGGAAGGTAACTGCAGAGGGCCTATTGGTCCATACGAGGCCGCTCCAATTTATATCCAGAATACATACACAATGTACTGTATATTGCACAAAAAATCACATTAACATGATGAATCAATGAGAAAAATAAAAGGAACCATCAGGAGGATTCAAACCTATGGTCTGGTTACTCCCAAGCAAACATCTTAGACAATTACACCACAACATGGTCTAAAGAATTGCAATCTGGGATTTAACTGAATCCTCTAGGGTTCCTACGGCTTCCATTGAAACTAAACCAAGGTTTCACACAATTCCCCCATGCATTCTAGCTTTGTAGTCTAGGAATTCTACCACCAATGTTTCTCTTCAGTGCACAACTTGCGGAGTGCTTGGAAGTACCCAGAGCATGGGTTCGAATTCTCCTCACGGCTCCTGCTGATTTTCTCACACAATATACAGTATTGCTACATTTTCTGTTCAACACAGTAGGAGAACCCTTTACCTTTCATTTTCATCATTTAAACCTAAGCTATCAATTTTGAAGAATCGAAATTATGGTACAGTAATTTATTTATAAAACTGCATTATTAATGCAGTGACAAGTATAAAATATACACCCTGCCATCCAAATATTATAATACTGTACGTATAATTACTATGAATGAAAGTACAAGTACAAGATATAGACTGTTGTACTCCCAAAATATATCTAAGTTTTTGTACTATTTTGTAGAGGGCTCAAGAAAAAGAAAACAATGAAAACTAAGTTTTCCTAGGCCTGGTATAGTACATATATGTACTAAATTAGACTTAAAATTTGCCAGTCTTAGGCCCAGAAATGCTTATTTAAGTCTAGGACAGGTTAGATTAAGTTTATTATTAGTCTGTTTCAATTGTTGTTATGTCCTTTATAATTCCAATAGTTCAAAATGTGAACTTTTTTAGGGTATTACAGCCCATATGTTGTACATTCCATTTATAGAAGCTACAGGTTCTATCATTTTTTGAGGATGGTTGAAAATACATGTACACGTTATATATTTAGATCTTACAGACCCAGACACCATCCTGGTAAAATGGACACTAATTATTAACAGGGGAAACTGACTCTACAGAGATCTTCCCACATTCCAAACCACTTTGGACCAAACTTAACAAACAAAAAACAAAAGAAATCTGAATAACCACATGTGACGTAGCACCCACAGAAAATGTATATTTTTATGTCCAAACACACACATCACAATACTGCATAAATTCACTAATAATATCATATACATAATAAAGGTACTTACCAATGGTCAAGCTCTTCCTCCATCTATATCTACAAGAAAGAATGTCTGTCTATGTCTGTCTGTCTGTCTGTCCAAGGTTGGAAGCCAGATACTTGGGACTAACCTCACCCAACTTTGCAGTAGTTATGGTCTGGGGTACAGGACAGACGAAAGCTGGTCGGGGGGTTGGCCAATGTTAAATGTTTTAAGAAATATTAGCATTTATAAAAACCCACATGTGAGGTATCCACATGCAGACGAGGAGTCACAATAACGTAGCTGAAATATGTTGAGCAGAGCACACACTAGAAAGTGAAGGGATGATGACGTTTCGGTCCGTCCTGGACTATTCTCACAATCGACTTGAGAATGGTCCAGGACAGACCGAAACGTCGTCGTCCCTTCACTTTCTAGTGTGTGGTCTGGTCAACACCCACATGTGATTTTCTTGGAATCAATTGTGAAATATTTGTGAGTTCGCATAGAGGTTTTAGCACTTTATAATAATAGATATTCTGAGACCAATTGAGTTGTTTCAGTACAGTACTTCTAACACTTTCGCTTGGTAATAATGCAGTATGGTGTCAAAAACTTAGTAGACGAATGTGCGGTAATGATGCAGTATGGTGTCAAAAAGTAATATATTTGCTAAAATTCAGGTTTTTATCCAATTTTTTGGGACTGGTTTTAAACTGAGCGCCACAAGACACAAGGACACAAGGACACAAGGTTTAAGTGTAAGTCCTGTGATGTGCCACTGTGTGAGGTACCATGCTACAGCAAATACCATCGCAAGAAACAATACTGAGTTGATAAGCAGTAATGTTTGCCCATCATCCACTCCACCTATAAAACATGGGTCGAAAATCTTCAGGAAACTTTTTCCTGGAGCAGGTGGAGTGGATAAAACTAATGTTCAACCCATGTTATGATCCACTGGATTGGTAAGTACAAAGAGTTTTTGTTTTTATACATTTTATATTGTGGGTTATACTTTATCTTATTGTATTGGTAATGTTGTTCTTCAATTTTCCCTGGTATGCATATATCCATTTAAAGCATTCTATTTGGAACAATTTGATACCAAAATGAGAGCTGTAACACGAAAATTGATGTTAGGAACCGAAAAAATACTAAACATTTGTGAGCGGGAAATGGGAGTGTAGTGGGTGGACGAATGGGCGCTCGCTCACGGGTAATGCGTGGCCTGCTTTCATCTTGTCTGCAGGTTAGCGCGCCACCATTTTTGCATATACTCCTGTAGGGAATTCTATTGTGAACACATTGATATCAAAATGAAAGACCTAGGATAAAAATTGAGGTGACCAAAGTGAAAAAAGTGAACACATTTTATTGCTCTTGTGCACTCCGGGTAACTCGCTTTCACTTTCTCTATTTGGTGCGGGTTGTATGCCGGACTTTTGGAGTTATATGCATTTAGTGCTGTAGAGAATTCTATTGGGAACACATTGATACCAAATTGAAAAACCTAGGACAATAATTGAGATGACAAAGTTGAAAAAGGTATACACTTTTCAATATTACTGTGCGCTCCCGTGGAATGCCAGGTGCACCTTGGGGTGGTGTGGTGTTCGCTCGCTCGCCCAAAGTGCCAAAGTGTTAATAATAATTTTTTTTTTGAGAGAGAGAGAAAGGAGAGAGGAGGGGGATGGAGAGGACAAAGTGGAAGACCAAGTGATGACCAAACCACAACTCAGAACATGGAGAAGCAACAACATTTCAGTCCGCCCTGGACCATTATCAAGTCCACACCACTTGATAATGGTCCAGGATTGACCAAAACGTCGTTGCTTCTCCATCATCTAAGTTGTGGTTTGGTCATCATTTCTTTAGCCACGTTACTGTCACTCATCGTCTGCATGTGGAGGACTAAGAGGAGGATGATGAGAGAGGGAAAAGGGAGATGGGGTGCAGAGGTGGGGTGAAAGGGTGGAAAGAGGGAGGAAAAGATCCGGTGCAGTTGGGTACCTCTTCTATGTACATATACATAAACATAAACATATGTATATGTATGTGTACAGTATACATTATATATATACAGTACATAAAATCACTAAGAACTCTATGACCCGACCAGAATTCGAACCTGCATATCCAGGGCTCACCCCCTGGTGTACACAGTACTATTACCTCTTCAGATTGGTTGGTAATAATTTCTCAGTAACGTTATTACCAACATTACTGGACCAAATCTTCAGATTGACTGAAGATTTGGTCCAGTCCTGGGGAAGATTCACCAGGACTGGACCAACCAGTCCTGGTGAAGGACCAGGACTGGTTGGTCCTGGAGCTCGCCAAGTGAGCTCCAGGACCAAGCAATCCCTGGTAATACTTGTGGTGCAATTTGGGGAGGGTTGGTTATCAGTAGGAGGGGGATGGGGATGTGCTGTGTGAGCTGCTTACTCATGTGGCAAATTGTGAATAACAGAACATAACATGTGTATTTGTTTGGTAATTTATTCATTGAAATATTTACAAGAAAATCAAATGGTTTTGACACAATTTAAGGCATATGATGTTGCATCATCCTACAACTCATGTGGGGTGAGTTGGGGAAAGAGAGGGAGGGAGGGAGGTTGTACAGAAAGCAGAGAGAGGATTGAACAGGAAGGAGATGTGTGATCATCATCTGTCTGTCAGTTTGTGCAATCTGTACATCCTGGCAGCCTGTGTAGCCTGTCTAGCCTGATAGTCTGTCGAGACTTTCAGTTTGTCTAGCCTTGCATCCTATTTAACCTGACAGTTTGTCTAGCCTAGCTGTCAAGCTTGATGGTTTATTTAGCCTCACAGTCTGTCCAGCCTGACTGTCTGTCTCACCTCAGTCTGTCCAGCCTGACTGTCTGTCTCACCTCAGTCTGTCCAGCCTGACTGCCTGTCTGGCCAGACAGCCTATTATGGCCGACAGCCTATTTGCCTTACAGCGTGTCTAGCCTAACAGTTTGTTTAGCTTGGCATTCTGTCTTTTTGAGATATATATAAGAGTTGTTACATTCTTGTACAGCCACTAGTACACGTAGCATTTTGGGCAGGTCCCTGGAATACGATCCCCGCCGCGAAGAATCGTTTTTGTCTTGTCTTGTCTTGTCTTGTCCGAAAAAGGTCTTGTCTGAAAAAGGTCTTGCCTGATAAGGCACCCTTAGATATTAAATTAGTATCACTCCCACAATTCACTGTATCACACATTTTTTTCCGACAAACCCAAAACAAATAACGGGCATATCCGGATAAGAGGTGTCCAGAAAGCACATAGTCATCTGTCTATATATGTGTATGTATGTATGTATGTATGTATGTATGTATGTATGTATGTATGTATGTATGTATGTATGTATGTATGTATGTATGTAATGTATGTATGTATATATGTATATATGTGTATATGTGTATATGTATATATGTATGTATGTATATATGTATGTATGTATGTATGTATGTATGTATGTATGTATGCATGTATGTATGTATGTATGTATGTATGTATGTATGTATGTATGTATGTATGTATGTATGCATGCATGTAAAACTTATATATTAAGTTTTATTAACTAAATAAAATACAGCCCACTTAATTCTGGTATAAAATGTCTCAACTCTCATCAGTTCCCATTATAAGCACAGTTGAATTTATTCAAAACTATAACCAACTTGACATACTGTTTACTATATCAAATTTGTTAATTTTAACTATGGGTGCTATCTGGGTATGTTTGTTAAGTTTAAAATCTCATTCTATATTTATGTTTTAAGTTAACTGATAATGAGAAAGTTAGTCTAAAACATCCCACTCCTGGTACTGATGACGTGCAATGAAGAATTAAAAACAAGAATTGCCAGTGTTGAAACTGAATAATAGTCTCAGTTATGCCTACATAAAAGTTTAATGCATAAAATTCCTACATACAGAAGGAGTCTACATCTAAGGTTTTTCTGAAAGAAATGTGCACGTTGTTTCAAATGTGTGATTGACTTTGGCTTCAATATACAGTGGAACCTCGGGTAGCAAATGTCCCTCTTTACAAATTTTTCGGGTTACGAACTCAATTTATTCAGAAAATTCAAATTGGGTTACAAACTTTGCCTCGCCTTGTGACTTTCTTGATACACGTATAGGTCGACTGAGCGGGTGGTTCTTGGTGGCACAGGCGACCGGTCTTCAGTTTACCAGTGCCTCCCGCTTAGTGACGATCGTACTTGAATTCTTTGTAAAGAATTTAATTTTTTCTGCTTTTTTGGTTTTGAATATAAAAGTATTTATCATATATCACACCATGGGTTTCAAGAAAGTCAGTGGCTAAGAAAACACATGTGAGGATGACCATAGAGGCAAGCTGCAGTAAGCCACTACCTAAACCTTTTTAAGAACACTGTGATGCCTCATTACAGACAAGTGTTGTCTGTAGTAAGTTGTCTGACAAGACGTAGGGAAAAAAAGTATCTATGGAAAGGTTCTTAGTGAGAAAAACAAACAGTGAGCCACAACCAGGTCCTAGTGGTATGCAGGCAAAATGTAGGAGAGAGTGTACCCCAGGGAAGTCCTCACTGCCTGATGTTATAATGGAAGGGGACTTCCCTTCCAAACACAAATACCTCTCCTCCTCCCCCCCTCCTCACCATCTTCCAAACACTAACAAGTCATCAATAAAGGTAAGCTATAACTTGTACATATTATAGTACAAAATATTTGTGTGCATTAAGTATGAAATGTATTTTTAAGTTAATATTTTTGGGAGTGAGGAATGGATTAATTCAATTTACATTACAGTACTTCTTATGGGAAAATTTGTTTCGGGCTGCGAATTTTCGGTTTATGACCCATGTCTGGGAACGGATTAAATTAAAAACTAAGGTATCACTGTATTTCAAAGCAAGTACAGCATCAAAATATAAAAAATTCAGTTTCTTGCACTACCTGAAGGGATACTACATATAATTTAATGAAAAACAGGGAACTTCATATATAAACAATAGTAAAGTATACCTACATAATATACAATATAATCAAAATATACAAATGCTCTTAAATAAATTAAACGTTGAATGATAACAATCACTCAATGTTAATGTAATTAAAAAATGTTCGTTTTGCCTAAATGTTTTCATTTTGATGCAAGAGTGCAACCCGTTATGTTTTTTTACCAATAAATGTTAGAAATACCACTGAAATCTGTGATGGCAAATTAAATGAAGGTCTTGTATAGTTTTGTCCAACTAATTATATCTTTTATAATAACTTCTTATCTGGCAAATGAATGATATCCTTTATTTAAACACTAATACTCTATTGCAATTAAGCATCTGAAATAAATAACCAGTAAACATAAATAAATATCCATGACAAGTTTCATCATATCAAAATGTCAGATGATCATTTACCTTGGATATTAGAAACAATTGATTCACAATCTAACGTTATATTTCAGATATATAACGTTATATTTCATATATATTGCAGATACTGTACTACTATTTCAGGTTAACAGTACGGCTACTAACAAAAGGGGGGGTAGACCATGGTGAGGATTATGGAAGGAGATGGCATGGGTGGGAAAGGAAACAGATAAGGGATTTGAAGATAGTCAGTATTTCACCGTCATACTGAGGTGCAAAAGAGCGAAAGTTCGATAAGCAAAATTTGTAATAAAAAATATCGAGATAAAAAGTCTCCAGAAAAAGTTGTAAAAAATTAAAAAAAAAAAAAAATTGACACAATGCCATTGTTTTTGTTAAAAATGCATTATGTCAACCAAGGGCAAAACAAAAACCTGTTTCACACCCGCAAGCTATGTAAACTGTCTAAGCAAAAACATGAGAGAATGTTACTCACTAAGAGGATCTAGAAGGTGAAGGTCAAGTGGGGGCTGAGGTCCCTCTCCATCATGCCCTCCCCTCCTGGCCCCTCCCTCTGGCCTCCTCAAGGCTATCTCCCTCTCAATCTCCGTAATCTGCTTCTTCATCAGTTTTAGTGTTGAAGACGAAGGAGACTGTGCATTGGTGTGGGGGGAATTCCGTGAGTGGAGTTTAGTATGGGGGGAACTGGCAGCATTGGGGAGGGGGGAGTTATGTGAGTTGAGCGTTGGGAGGGGGTAGAGGGGTGGCAGCTCACCCCTGCACAACTGCTCGTCCAGGGACCGCACGACAGGACGTTGTTGTTGTTGCAACTGCTCCTGTTGGAGTTGCTCTTGTTCTTGTTCAAACAAAGATTCTTTACTGTCTTCTTCTTCTGGCACCTCCATTCCACTCTCATCACCTATAATATAAATTCATGACTGTAATAAAATATGAGATGACACTTCTATAGCAAAAGCTATAAATAAATACTGAACATGCAGCAGTGAAAAATTATTGGCATGTTGATAAACTAACAAGAAAAGATTGTAATTATATAACACATAATACTGTTCATCCATACAGTTAATACAAAGAATGTGCAGTCTAAAATGTACCTATGTTTCAAGCACTGTACTGTATACCGAATAGAAAATCCAGTAAGTTTTAAACTTAATCATATATCTATTGATAAATCCATGTACGTATAAAATGACATATACAAATTTGATAAAGGAAGAGATCTAAGGGTGGTTCTTGATAGAAAACTGTTACCTGAATACCACATAAAGAACACTGTGCGAGGAGCCTATGCTATGCTTTCCAACTTTATAATCACTTTTAAATAAACGAATGTTGAAATATTTAAAAAATGATTCATGAACAAATGTGCAATAAAAAATGGAATATGCAGCAGTCATATGGTGCCCATATGGTGCCCATATGGTGCCCACATCTCAAGAAGCACATCAATAAACTGGAAAAGGTGTAATGACAAGCAACTAAATGGCTACTGGAACTGAAAAACAAGAGTTATGAGGAGAGGCTCAAAGTGTTACATTTACCAAAGCTAGGAGATAAAAGAAAAAGAGGAGATATCACTACATACAAAACAGTAACAAGAATTGACAAACTTGAAAAGAAGAATTCTTAAAAACTGCAACTTCAAGAATTAGAGGTCAAGGACTACAGCATTATAATAAGTTTCTTCAAAATTAGATTTGCTGCTCTTCTTGGAATTAAGACTGACTGCACAAGTCTGTTGTCTGTTGTGTATACTTGTCTGAGCTTCAATTAGGTTGTGATCTGAATGACATCTATTTTTGATCATTAAGTTCCTAACTAATTCATTATTGTTTTGTAAAAATACGGTCTTGGGTGTTTTCTTTTCTAGTTAGTTTTATTATATGCTGGTTTAAGGCAAATCTCTCTCACATCAAAAAGAGGCCATTAGCAAGTAATTACCATAGTGTAATTATATACAAATGACCTCCCCTGCTCCTTTCAGTTTATCCTTCATATGCTAACTCTCCTGGGTTGGCATATTGAGGAATTCTATAAAGCACTTATGTACTTACCAGAACATATTACTTTACTGTACAAGTAGCATATACTGTACTTAACATATATATTTTTTAAATTTAAATTAAAAGTCTCATTTCCCAAATATAAAATACAACTAATAAATTTCCCAATGATGATGGTTAATGCAATGACACTAACCTGAGGAAAGACCATCCTCCAGCACTGGCATAGCCGAGCAGATGCCTCGGGAGGATGAATGGATTGACCCTTCCGGGTCAACACCAGAGTAGTCACTTTCCACGTCGCCCGAGTCACACGAAGTTGTCTCGGGTGATAAAGTGAAGTTTCGGGAGTGGCCCACCTGTTGAAGGTATTACTCTGAGAACTGATGAAAATCATTTTAGTAAAATAAGATGAAACATGCAAAATTATGGAAGAAAAATTTTACTTTTTTTCAGACTGTTCCGTACAATTATTTGTCACTACAATAGAAGAAATGAGGATTGACAGGTCCCTCTCTACCAGTGTACGGTACACTACAGTATATCAGATCACCAAAACCTTTACTAGATATTAAAATACTTGCCACATGTGAGTAAAAAAAATTCAGTGGATATTCCGAATTAAAAAAAAAATAAAAAACACAGACAAGAGAATGAATTGATAATTAATGAGTTTAAGATCTTGTTACATTTAAATAAAGACATAGAGACATATGCTTTGTTATGTTGACAGTGCATTTTTATATTATTGTAGTTGTACAGTAATACAGTTTATTTGAACTGATGAAGTACAGTATAACCAAAAATTAAATTATATGGTATGGATGATAAAAAGAGAATTGATCTGAATTTGCAATGTACTGTATTTTATCAGAAAACTTTAAGAGATTGTAGGATTAGATAGGAGAGGACACTGAATATAATATAATATTAAGATAAACATGAAATTAATGAGGATGTGGAGCTATTACTTTTAAAGGATTAAATATAAGTGTCACCTCAAATGACTTGGTTACCCTTAAGACAGCATTATTGATATACGGAAGGTACACTAGCTGGAATATTTCTAAGATTAGAAAAAAGGTCATCACAGATCATAACCCAACTATTCAAAAATACAAAATTCCTGAATGCTCGAAAATCACCAAGAAAATATAGAAGTATTATATAAGAAATATCAAATATGTACAAGACAAGAATAGTAAATTATATCAGGCACAAAATATATTAATTACTGAACAATACAGTACATGAGTATGTATTGGTCAACAATTACAGTAATATAGCAGAATACAGGCAACTATAATATACTCTAGATGTTTTCATTAAATTATAATATACTCTAGATGTTTTCACTAAACTATAATATTCTCTAGATGTTTTCTCTAAACTATTATGTACTCTATATGTTTTCACTAAACTATAATCACATTTCGTATAACATTTTCATGCGCATTTCACCACTTACTCAGTTTTCTGTTATCAAAATGCACATATAGTTTAGTGTTAGGGAATGCTCAAGCAAAACATTATCCAAATGTTGAAATCACTTTCCCTACATTAGGGAGGGAGGGAGTTATCAAAGGGAAAGTGCCAAGCCGTTACAACTATATAACACTGGGAAGGAGGTCAGGATAAGGATTTGGGATGGGACAGGGGGAGGAATGGTGCCCAACCACTTGAACAGTTGGGAATTGAATGCCGACCTGCATGAAGCGAGACCGTCACTCTACTGTCCAGCGACAGTAGAGCAACTATATTAGGGAAGATATGTTAAATAATTGTTAAAATAAATTTCTTGTATATTCTCTCTCATCTAAAGCTCCATTTATCTGCAGCTCTAATGATAATATAATTACATCTATTGGGTAACATGGCACCAATTTCCTATAGAATTTCCCTTCATTTATTTTTCTTATAAAGCTAGCTAAATTTCCCTTTCTAATAGTACCTGGATCTGAACAACAATACTGCAGTGGGAAAGGAGAAAATATAAGAAAAGTCAAACCAAAAGATGAAAGTAGTGTGTTTAAGTGAGAATTATGATATGAGGGCCTTGGAGCAAGGTTTAAGGACTCTATATGAGGGAAAATACAAAACACAGTATTGAATGCAACAAAACACTTCACTTGGGTCCTAGGTATCCAGTTGCTAGCTACTGGATACCTCCACCAAATTCATTCCACACTGGGTCCTCTTAAGTCATTGTAAGCCTACTGAGGACCAGAGGCCAAAATCTATTCCTTCTACTGTATTTATGCAGTAAAATTAATATGTTCTGTTTAAATTCTTAGTGTTCCAATCATGTAATAATTATCATTTTATTTCTATTTCCCTACTTCAATTCAGTATTGTTTTTATCTGATTTAGTTTTAAGTATTTTAGTTGTTCTCGTATTTTGCCTGAAACACTCTGCGAATTAGTGGCTTTAGGCATTGTACTTGCCCCTACCCATGAATTATACACTCTTCTTATATGATCCTATGTATATATCCTATATATGTATGTATGTCCTTTTGCTTAAATAAAAATGATATTATTATTATTATTATTATTATTATTATTATTATTATTATTATTATTATTATTATTATTATTATTATAGATCATTCTAAGCAAGAAAAGGCCACCAGAAAATTTGGCAAAACAAAACAAACAGCAAGGTAAAAACAAATCCACAAATACTGTAATAACAAAAAGCATAGGATCACCAGTACAGAAACGAAGGACAAGTGATGAGGCGAGAAAAAAAGACAGGAGCATCAAGGACCCTCATAATGTTGCCTCGATGAAAGCTCCAGGTGATACAGTACACCAAAAGACCGGCCACCTATGGACCATAAAATGAGCGGTACACAAGCGGTACACCAGAGAGTCTAAAGGCATCAAAGAACATCTCTGGTCAATCTGCTGAAAGAAGCAGAGCTGCAGAAATTGACATCGAACTACAGATGGGCTGGCCTAGCTGTTTGAACTACAGCTGGGCTGGCCGAAAGGGAGCCAGCAGGAGAATTCTGTCAAAGAACAATTCCAGTCTGAACAGAACCTGGAGCAACAGCTGAACCAGAGGGAAGAGATAAAGAAACCCTACCAGCCACAGTCTAACAGACTATCAGATACAGAGCTGTATCTGATTATGTGCCACTTTCAAAGTATGTAAAATAAAATGGCTTAAGAGTCAAAATGGGAAGCACAATTCTGAGCATAATAATTTGGCTGTTCTATAAGATAAGGATCCACTACGTCATTAGACCAGAATCATGTACATTCATCGAAACCTTTAAAATACTGAACAATTGGGCGGATGTTGACCCGGACAATTTCTTCAAAAGATCAGATGTAGCACGAACGAGGAGCAACGGGTTCAAGCTCAACAAGCCACAATGTAGGACTGAAAACAGGAGATGCTTTTTCACCCATAGGGTTGTAAACCTGCAGAACTGTCTACCTGCCAAAGCCATAAACATTAACACTCTGCGGGGCTTTAAAATACAGCTGGAAGAGATCATCAGCGCAAATGGAGGGGGGAGGGGACCTTTGACAAGCCACCGGCTTTCTGTTCTTGTCGAGGCCACTAGTATTAGAGGCCCTCAGGTAAATTCAGGTAAATTCAGACAGGAAACACTTCTGGTACCAGCATTACAGGAACTTTTCAAGCATCCCTGTAAGGTCATTAAAGGTACAGCAGTAGAAAAGCACTAAAGATGAACCTAATTCAACCCAGAAAGATACTGACTAATAATAATAATAATAATAATAATAATAATAATAATAATAATAAAATAATAATAATAATAATAATAATAATTTATTTATAAAATTACAGATGATTAGATTACAAATGTTACTTAGTAGTTACCATATTTGCATATTTTATAAAGCCACTAATTACGCACATTATAAATGGAGATGAGATGTGGGTAAACATACTGATACATGGAAGTGAAAAGAAAGTATGACAAAGTTAAAGTCTGCCAATATCAGAGCATCTGGAGGCCATTTTGTATTGAGCACCCTACTGTAGATCACATTGTAGTTAACATCATAACATGAGATATATCAATATGCAAAACAATTTGTCTTTCAGAGGAAAATACAATAAACTATGAGCCATATACCATGACACCTAAGAAAAAATGCTAAAAGTTTATGACTAAGGAGAAAATAGAGAATTCAGTACAGTACAGTACAAGAATATTGTTATTTAAAAATATTTCCATAAATAAATAAATAGAAATGCATAAGCTTTAAGTACACGCTTTTGCACTCCCCTAAGAATAACATCAAATTTCTTGCAAGATAAAAAATATCAATGATTATTCAAGCAACTAACTGATAAAGAACAAGAGTCATGCATTTAATCAGTCAACCTTATACATTACAATCAAGTAATTCTACAACTGCAAGTACTGTATTATGGCTAAAATAAAAAATATAGAGGTACTGTAATATGGAATTTTTGTTCAAGAGCACCATTTTATTATTGGAACTTTTTAACTGAAAATACACACAATTTCTTTATTATGTTCTATATAAATATCAAGTGAAGGTGATCTATTTTTATTTAACATTGAATTTGAATTAGAATGCCCACCTACATTTACTATATTTCTTTATGCCAATATTCATATACCGCCACACCCACCACATAGCTTCAAACCCTCATTATGGCTCCTACGAATTTTTTCAATAATAATAATAATAATAATAATAATAAAATCAGTAGGAGCCATGACAAGGATTCAAAGCTAACATCTGGGTACTCCCAAGTAAACACTTTAGATGACTAGGGGCACGACATGGTCAAAAATATTGCAACCTAGGATTCAACTGAATCCTCAAGGGTTCCTGAGGCTTCCAATGAAGCCAAACCAGGGTTTCTCACAAATACCCCCCCCCCTTGCACCCTGGCTATGTTGTCCTGGAATGCTACCTCCAATGATTTTCTAAATGATAGATCACGTTAATGTGATTTCTCTGTGCACTGAAGAGGAAGCATTAGAGATAGATTTCCTGGACATTCAAAGCGAGAGCGCATAAGAGGATTGCGTGAAACCCTGGTTTGGCTTGAGTGGAAGCCTCAAGTACCTTTGAGGATTCAGTTAAATCCCAAGTTGCAAACCTTTTGACCTTGTCGTGGCCTAGTCACCTAAGGCGTTTGCTTGGGAGTACCCAGAGCATAGGATCGAATCCTAGTCATGGCTCCTACTGATTTTCTCATCGATACATCATGTTAATGTGACTTCTCCGTGCAATAATAATAATAATAATAATAATAATAATAATAATAATAATAATTGTAAGAGAAAAAATAATTAGAGGAGTCCCGGTAGTACAGTCGGGTTCGTTCTCAACTCGT